AACTGGAGTTAAGGACAGTTTGTGGGTGCTGGGTATTGAACCTGGGTCCTCTGCAAAAGCAGTCAGTGCTCTTAACTACTGAGCCATCTCTCCAGCCCCAGGATTTCAACTTTTAAATATTGTTCTTTTTTTTTATTTTTTGGCTTTTTGAGACAGGGTCTCCCTGTAGCCCCAGCTGGCCTGGAACTATGTAGACCAGGCTGGCCTTGAACTCAGAGATCCGCCTGCCTCTGCCTCCCAAGTGCTGGGATTAAAGGTGTGTGTCACTATGCCCAGCTTAATATTCTTTTTAGTCACAGAAAGTTTTAATCAGTTCTACTGGAGTTGTGACACCTCTTCTGACCTTTGACTATTGCACAACACTGGTGCACTTATATATATGCAGGCAAAATACTCATACACAAAAAAATTTTTTTAATTAAATTTTAAAAAACTAAAACAAAACCTACCAAAGTGGTCCTTCTAATGCATTAAGTCAGATCATGTCAATTTCACCACATGTTCAACCCTTCTTTCTCAAAAGTCCCACCTCAAATAAATTTGACTTTCAAGGCCTTCAATAATGTGGTCCAACCACATCCAGCTGTAAGCAAAGCACTAGGCACACTATTCCTAGACATTATCAATCATGCTCAAACCTCAGGGCCTTTCCACCACTGGGTGTTCTATCTGTCCAGAATGTTCTTTACCAGATACCTAGCTGCATGGTTCCTCCTCGTTACCTCATTTGAGGGGCCTTACTGATCAACTCATTTTAACTTGAAGTCACCATCTTCATTGATCCTATCTTCTTGATTTTTCTTTCTGTTTTGTCTGTCAGTAACTTACATACATTTAAATTTTTTGGTTCTTTATATTTTATGTGTATGAGTGTTTTGCCTGCATGTATGTATGTGCACCATGTGCATGCAATGCCCACAGAGGCCAGAAGAAGATATCAGAGCTGGAGTTATGGACGGTTGTTTGCTGCCATTTGGGTGCTGGGAACTGAACCCAGGTCCTCTGCAAGAGCAGCCAATGCTCTTAACTGCTCTTAAGTCTGGAAATATATTTCATTTACTTATTATCTATGTCTCCATGAGGAAACATAAATATGGATTTTTTAATTCATGTGCTAATATATCATTGGACAAAAAAGCAAAAAGAATAATTACATAAATTATAAATACTGTTGCAGAAATACATCAGGGAACCTAGAGAAAAGTCCTAGCCGGGGAGAGAGCTGCAGTGTGACAGAGAGGCACAGAAAGATGAGAAGGCAATTGAGGGAGCAAGTCATACAGCCAGGACCAGCAACACCATTTGTCCAGGGCTCAGTGAAACATCAAAATCAGGGTCCTTGTCACAGATGATCAAAACATTTATGATGTGACAAGCAGAGCTTTAACATAATAAAGTTCTTTCTAAACACCAGGCCTGTGTGACTGCACAGGTCTCACATCCATACATCCAGCCCCACATGCAGCTATTACAAAAAGACTGTTCCAAACACATGGAAGAGTAAGCAGAAAGAACCCAAAAGGAACAGAGAGCTTCAGGAATAAGCAAAAAGCCCATGCTTGTTAAAGTAGACATTTATGGACTCAGTGGACATTGTGACTGCACAGGTCCATGGTCTGTCTCAGAGTAGTCTTCTTTTATCTGGACTAGATGGAGGAACATCAATCTATTCCCAGATCCTGAGACATACTCTGCTGCCAGCTCTTGAGCATCACTTTGGATGACCAGCTTTCAACCTGCTCCCTTATAATCCAGTGCTGATACCTGAGTCTCCATGCCTATCCCATGTGAAAATCTCTGCTCTGGGAAGTGCCTACTAAAAGTACTACTAGCTCTTACTAATTTCCCCATCAGGTGACTAGAGTTCAGCATAGGCTCACAACTGGGTGGCTGACTAAGGAGGCACCATCAGCCGACAGTCTTTCCTGAGAGTTCGTGTTCTTCTAAGACTGGGAGTCACGCTTGTGCCAGATGTGGAATGTTGAGATCAACTGTTTTCCTCTCAACTAACTCTTAATGTCAGGAGCACTGCTATGTATCTCTATGCTCCAAACATCTCACCACTGGCGTGCATGCATTCATTCAGGTAGGGTCTCATTCTATAGCCCAGGCTTGTCTAGAACTCTTTCAGCCTCAGTGCTGGGATCACAGGTGTGCAGTACCACACTCAGGGACAGGGATATTATCTATCCACTTTTGTTTTTGTTTTTCGGGTTTTGTTTCTTTTTTTTTTTTTTTTTTTTTTTTTTTTTTTTTTTTAGTCCCAGCTGACTTGGAACTTTCTATGTAGACCAGGGTGACCTCAGTTAGACCAGGCTGGCCTTGAACTCACAGAGATCAGCCTGCTAGGATTAAAGGCATGCACCACCACACCGGGCTCTATCCACTCTTTTAAGGAACAATTTAAATATCTTGCAGATAATCCTAGGAGTGAATATTAGGAACTGAAGCTCATTTACCTTTGTTCTTAGTAGTTAGGAAAAGAGGGGGAAAAAGTTTCCCACCTTTTTAGCTGCCACCTTAAGAATCCCACTTACTATGAGTAAATCATATTAACATTTGTGGATATTAATTAAAGCAAGCATACCACTTGGAAGTTATAGAAAGGGTTTTTGGTTTGGTTTTGGTTCTATTTGCTTGTGATATCTTATTATGTAGCCCTGGCTAGCCTGGTACTCCATATATAGCCCAATCTGGTCTTGAACTCCCAGTAACCTTCCTGCCTCAGCCTCTTGAGTGAGTGCTCGTATTATAGGTGTGTGCCAATGTTATCACTTTTTCTGATTCTATATAACCACTAGAAGAGTCTTCAAAAGCTTTCATCAACTAGAGTTCAGGGACCAAAGTAATAGTGTGTGTGTGTGTGTTTGTGTGTGTGTGTGAGTGTGTGTGTGTGTGAGTGTGTGTGTGGTGTTAGTTTATAATAAACCAATGGTCTCAACCAGGGGTGACTTTTGCCTCCAAGAGAACTTCTGGCAATGTCTGGATGAAAGTAGGTTAGTACAGCCAATGTGTAGGGTGAAGCCCAGAGATGTTAAGTATTCTACAATGTACAGCACAGCTTCTGCAACAAGGAATTGTCCTATCCTTAATATCAATAGAGCTTAGTGTAGTGTTGCTTACCTGTAATCTAGGAGGCTGAGATAGGAGGATCAGGAGTTCAAGGTAATCCTCAGCTATACAAGTTTGAGGCCAACCTAGGCCATGTAAGACTCAGTCTTGAAAAACAACAACAATAACAACAAACAAGTGAAAAAGTCCATACTATCAGTAGTGTTGAGGCTGAGAAATTTAAGTTATGGACTCCTTGTGATCATAGATTACAGTTCCAAATTCATTATACCTAAGCCTAACATATTAAAATTAAGTCTTAGCCTTAGCCAGGCATGGCATGGTACACACCTTTAATTTCAGCACTCAAAAGGCAGAGTCAGGCAGATCTCTATGAGATCTAGGCTAGCCAGAGCTACATAGTGAGACAGACTCTGTCTCAATAAACAAACAAATAAATAAATAAATAAATGAAGCTATCCAATACACCTAGCATGAATCTGATACAAACTTTAATGGAAAGGGTAATAATGTTAAAAGCAACAAGATCTATAGCAGACAAATCACGATTAGAAAGCATTTGAACAATGGTGGAGAAATGCAGTGAACAGATGTTTAGCAGATACAAGCAATTCAAGAAGAAGATGGGTCACAGAGATTGCCAGGGAAAGAGACCATTGGAAAAAAGACTCTTGGATATCACAGATTCCTAAGTATGGGCATGTTAGCCCAAGATACACAGAAACCAGACAAAAAAAAAGACCTTCCTTCTTCAGTAAGCAGGATGCTGAGAGGGCTTAAGGACAGAGATCAAAAGTAATATATCTACAGCAAAGAAAATACTTTATCACTGTGTTTATTCAAACTGGCCTCAATGAATCATCATACTTGGAAAATACTCCCCTTACCTTTTATCTATCTTCTCATTTGTAAAACGAGTAATTACAACTGTCTCCTCTTGGCTTACCGTGAAAGCCAAATTAAATAAGATGAAGATGAAAAAGGACAAATGTGATGCCTAGCACATACCAGTGAAACGCCACGGATGTTCCTTGGCTCTGCTTTTCCCCGGCTCTAACCCAAACCATACCCCAATAGTGTCATGAAGTGAGCTGTAGTCTGTGTTCACATTTAGAGAACTGCCAAGAAGAGACTCAAAATGGGATGGATGACCATGCTCTCAAAACGTTTAAATGATACAAGACTTGCTGGTAAACAAACACCTGCTTAAATATGCAAAATAGATTACTCTGAAGATAGAGGCACGATCACTTTCTTCCCACTGCTGCCCATGAAACTTCAGGAAAGAACACTGAAGACCGATACTGACTCCAATGTAAAAAGGCCATCACACAGCGCAAAGTTAATTATAAGTAATTTTGACGAAACAGTTTGTTCCCTCAGGTTTCCATGATCTTCCCTAAGGTGTAATGCAATATACCCAAGACGCACACTCATAAATTCGTAATAGACACAGCTCTCCAGCTCACCTAGATCACAGTTCTTGGTTGCTGTTTAGCGACAGGTGTCACATTCATGGTTGCCAGTGAGCACAAGGGTGCAATTTCATGTCTAAATAAATAAGTATAATTGATAGAACCCTAACCATCCAGGGGCAAACCGTACATACTGACTCATCGCAGCTTGTTTACGCAGCGCAGAATTCTCATCAGTTTGACTGAGTAAATATGTAGAGGGCTGCCGGTAACCAACCAGGTGAAGGTGGCTGAGGGTAGTGCGCAAAGCCGGGTCCCCTCACGCGACACAGCCGGCCGAGTCTGGGCAAGGCGCTGGGAACACGATGCTCGGTCTGGGCAGGGAGCCTGGCGGCCGCCCCTCCAACTGCAGTTGGAGCCGCGCGTGGCCGCGGGTTACACGGCCTGCAGTACCTCCCCTCCCTCCCAGCGCTCCTGTCCCGGTGCCCGCCCCGGGGCCGCCACCCTGCTCACCGACACTCCATACTTGAGCGCGATGCCCTGCAGCGTGTCCCCAGCGCAGACCCTGTGCTCCACCAGGCGCTCGATGACGCCGGCGCCCAGCGGCGCCCGCACGCTGGCCGTACTGCCATACGAGCGGGTCTTGGTGCGGGCCAGGCTCAGCGACAGTTCGGCCTCCTCCGGCTCGGAACCGGAGCGCGAGCGCGGGGACGGCGAGGGCGCCGAGGGTCTGCGCACACGGGAGCCGCCCTCCCGCAGGCCCGCGGGCGATGGATCCGCCATGGGTCCCGCCGAGGCCGCCCAGGCGCCGAGCTCGCAAGGGGGCGGCGCCTCCTCCTCCGCCTCTTCCTTCTCGCCCGGGCTGCGGCTCGGCTGGCCGTGCCGCGGGGGCGGCGGACGCGATGTGGGAGCTGCGGGCCTCTCACGGCGCAAGGCGCGGTCTGAGGCCGGCTCTCCCCGGCGCCCGCGGCCCCCGCGCACCCGGGAGGGAAACCGGGAGCCCAGCCCGGAAGGCCCTACGGTGCGGGGAAAGCGGGAGCGCGCCTCGGCCTGCGGGTGAGGGAGGCAGGTGGAGGCGTCCTTGGACCCAGGTGGACCGCTAGACCGTGGAGAAAGAAGGAGCCCAAGTAGAGCCTGCCCTGGCTACAGTAAAACCCACAAAGTGTTCCCTGCCATACAGATTCCGCAGCAGGGGCCACTTTGCTCAGACCGTGCTATGGCAAGGGCAGTGTAACCCCCACCCCCGTGACCTAAACGTTGACCTCAAAGTCTTGATCCCAGGAGACCTTAAGATCACTAAATATGGTTTCTGCAGGTCCCTAGCTACAGCCTGGAGGTAGTCAGTCAATCTCTCTCTCTCTCTCTCTCTCTCTCTCTCTCTCTCTCTCTCTCTCTCTCTCAAACTAAGGCCTGCTGGGTGGCCTCTGGCTAACCCTCCAGTTTGTGGGGTTCATTCTTTAGCCACCAGCTCATCTTAGTCCTAGGTTACCGGTTCTTATCATTAAACCACCTAAGTCTCTTGTCTTCATCTCAGAACCCTCTCCTCCCACCACCCTCTCCTCCCACCTGCTTCAGGGGGATTGTGCAGTGTGGGAGCACACTGACTAGTATCTACTGCCCAGCTTTCTGAGAGTAGGTGGGGAGACTGAGGCGGTTTTGGTATGTTGCTGTACTGAACAAAAGGAAAGGAAACACTTCAGGACACACAAGAAAAGATGGTAGGATAGGAGCAAGTGGTTCCCCTATCGCCCACCCAAAGATCCTTCAGGTAGTCTCTGAGAATAACAGCACAAGTATAAGCCCACATGGCATTCAGGTAAATTATTTTTGAGTGTTCAGACTCTGGCCTTACCCCATCTATAATGCGTCCTGTATTATAGCATGTTCCTGCTGAAGTACTTGAGCTTCTTTATTCCAATAACCTGTCTACTATTTATTTTTTGTTAGTTGTTTTTGAGACAGGGTCACATATAGCCCAGACTGGCCTTGAACCCCCTATGTAGGGAAATCGCTTTGCAGCCAAAGATAGTCTTGAACTCCTGATTCTCCTGCCTCCATTTCCTGTGCCCGGCGGCATGCACCATAACAGCTGGTTTATGCAGTGCTGGGGATTGAACCCAAGCAAGCACTTTTCTAAATGAACTACATCTCCAACTCCAGCATTTTGGGGTTTTTTGTTCTAATTCTGAGACAAGATCTCCCTGTTTTTCTGAGGTATGTTTATGTAGTCCAGGCTGGCCTTAAACTCAATCCTCCTACTTCAACCACCAAAGTACTGGGATTACAGGAGAGTTTCACCATCTGGTTTGTTGTCAGGGTCTCATTTTGTTATCCAGGCCCGTCTAGAGCTCCTGGGCCCAACTGCTCTGCCAGACTTAGGTTCACAAATGCTGGGACTAGAGGCACACCCCACTCTACCCAGCTTATTTTTTAAAGTCTTTAAAGTCTGTTTCAAATGATACATTCAGGGTGCTCTTAGGCAGCACATATACTAAAATCAAATGATCCATTCTCCATGGGATTTTTTTTTCTAATTCTTTCTAGTTGTCCACCATCCCAGCCTACCCAGTTGATACTGTTTCTCCTTTGAGCCCCAAGAGTGGTTTGTACCTCTTGTTCAGTTTTGAACTCCCTCTGTTTTGTTTGAATCATTCATGTATTTATCTTATCTCCTTCACCAGATGCATGCTCCCAGGAGGCAGAAGGAGCTCTTACTCATCTTTATAGCTCCAGCAGTGACTGCTTAGTAGAAAAACAAATACCCATGATTACAAGTAGTTGAATGGAAGAGCAGTAGAAAATCCCAGCGTCTGGTAGTGTAGCATGCACTCCCTGCCATGAGGTGTCTCTTGCTACAGGAGCAAAGAGGGCAGGGGAAAGTGACTATGGACTGGGACCTCTGAAGTTACAAGCTAAAACAAAACCCTCCCCTCATTTATGTTGATTACCTCAGGTATTTTGCAATGGTGATGGTTGCCTCTGACAGCAGGCAGTTCTGAAATGTCTACAGGAAACACAGATAATAGCTACACTGGAACTGTTCCAACTGGTAAGAGTTCATCAAGATTTGGATTTATGGGGGCTCATATCATGGTGGCGCCCACCTTTTAATTCCAGCACTTGGGAGGCAGAGGCAGGTGGAGCCCTGTGACATCAAGGCCAGCCTGGTCCACATGGTGAGTTCCAGGACAGCTGGGGATACTGGGAGCCCTGTCTCAAAAAGACCAGGAAAAAAAAATATTTGGGTTAATGGAGTGGGCATGGTGATGCATGCCTGTAATCCAAGCACTTGAGAGGCAGAGGCAGGTAGACTGCTTAAGGTTTGAAGCTGGACTGATCTACATAGCAAATCCCAGATCTGTCTCAGTCACATAGTGAGACACTGTCTCAAAAAACAAAAACAAGCTGGGTATGGTGTCTCAAGCCTTTAATCCCAATACTCGGGAGGCAGAAGCAGGTAGATCTCTGTGAGTTCCAGGCCAAGCCTGGTATACATAGTGAGTTTCAGGCTAGCTGGGGCTACAGAGAGACCCTATCTCAAACAAACAAACAAACAAATGGAAAAAAAATAAAAAACTAAACACCAAAAAAAACACTGACTTAGTATTTTTAAGATTCTTTTGTCCATGTCTGTCTTAGTCCATTGGGACTATGCTGACAAAATATGATATACTGGGTAGTTTATAAACGGTAGAGCTTATTCCTCACAATTGAAGAACCTGAGAACTCCAGACCAGGGCAAAGGCAGATCCAGTGTCTGGTGAGCTTGTTTCCTTGTTCATATATAGTGTCTTCTTGTTGTGTTCATATGTGGTGAAAAGCACCAACAAGCACTCCAGGGTCCATTTTATAAGGACACTAAACTCATAAGGGTTTTCCCTTACAGCCTAATCACCCACAACAGGCTCCATCCCCTTATTCTGTGGCCAGGGAAGTTAGAATTTCAATATATAAGCTGTCAGAGGGAGTAAATATTGAGGCAAAATACATGAAAATGCTCTGCCATGTTCCCTGGATAAGAAGACTCTGTTTCAAAAATGTCAATATGCTGCAGTTAAGTTCTAGGTTTCATGTAATAGCATTTACCATCCTGAAATGAGATTTTTTCTTAAAAAATAATTTATTGAGAATTTCATACAGGCATATAAGCATATATGGTGTTTTGATCAAATCCATGCCTACTCCCTCCCCCCTAACTCCTCCCATATCTCCCCATCACTTTTTTCTGACAACTTCATGTGCTCTTTCTTCTTTTTTTTTTAATGGAGCTTTTTGCTACTCTAACATTCCCCCCTCTGAAGAGGTAACCCTAAAATCTTTTAGGGATTAGATAAGAGCTCCCAAATACTTTTGACATGTTTGGCCTTTGGAACAGAGTATGTTGCTAAGAGGCCCAAAGGACATTTTGACTTTTAGCCAAGAAAATGGCTACTTTTATTTGGGGTCTTTTTATACTAACTGCCTAACCAATTCCTACCTCCTATTTTTTTTAACTATTTTATTATTTTTATGTGTATGTGTGTATTGCCTGCATGTAGATAAGTGCACCTGTGTTCTTCAATGCCCAAGGACGACAGAAGAGGCTGTCAGATCCCCTGGAACTGGAGTTACGGACAGTTGTTAGCTGCCATGTGGGCTCTGGGATTTGAACCCAGGTCTTCTGCAAGAACAGCCAGTGTTCTTAACCACTGAGCCATCTCTCCAGCTGCCCCCCACCTCCTATTCTTATCACACTATTATCTGAAGAGGTTACCCAGCTTGCAGATAGGGAATTGCAAGACCACTCTGGCTTCTTCCATGCTGAACAGGGATGCAGGGTAAGGCAATTGGGGTACCCCTTCAGTGGGTCTATCTAAAAGACTCCCAAATTGCATAATGTTTATCTTCGGGGCCGAAATGAAATTTTAAGGAACATGACAGGCTAATTCTAAAGTGATATAGAAAAGCAAAGGTGCCAGGTGTGGGTACACACCTTTAATCTCAGCACTGGGAGGCAGAGGCAGGTGGATCCCTATGGTTTCAAGGCCAGCCTTGTCTATACAGCGAGTTCCAGGCCAGCTGTGACTACAGAGAGACACTGTCTCAAAAAGATTAAAAAGAAAAGTTCACAGACAGTCAAGAACCTCTAACTGAATGAGATTAGCCCACAGATGGCTTTGCTTAGGCCTTCCTCAACATGGGATAACCATGACTTATATGAAATTTGGAATCTCAGAGACCTGCCTGCCTCTGTCTCCCAAGTGTTAGGATTAAAGATATGTGCCAACACACCCAGCTAAAGCTCATTATTGTTTGATAATGTTTCATTGTATGGATGTGCCACAGTTTGTTTATACATTCACTCAGATCATCTGGAACTGGAGTTATGGGTGTTTGTTAGCCAGCATGTGGGTGCTGGGAACTGAAACTGACCCAAGAAGCAATATAAAATCTGAGCTGAGCATGGCCGTTCATACCTGCAGTCCCAGCACTTAGAAGGTGAAGGCAGAAGGATCAGGAGTTCAAAGCCAGCCTCAGTGAGTTTGAGGCCAGCTTGGGCTACCTAATAACCTGTCTCAGAAAAAAAAAAAAACAACTTTAATCCCAGCACTTGGGAGGCAGAGGCAGGCAGATCTCTGTGAGATCAAGACCAGCCTGTTCTACATAGGAGTTCCAGGCCATCTGGGGCTGCAGGGAGACCGAGTCTCAAAATAAAACAACAACAAAAAAAAACAAAAAACAAATAAACAACATTGATAAGTCAAGGGAATTCTTACCTATTCCTACCTTGTTGAATATTGAAGTGTTTGCTAAAGAATAGCACCTCAGGTTG